TTACATACTAATGAAGGCCAGAGGGCAGAGCCAATTAAGCATTCTTCCCCAGACCCTCCCCCCTTCCTCTCTCACTATTTAACTCAGGTCTGCCCTGAGTTTCATAGGGGTACATCCAGATCCATCTACCACCCACCATGAAAATAAACCCTTTTGGAACCAAGGACTTTCTCAGGTCATTGGGGCCGCACCTTGGGGAATAGTGCCGAAGGCCTTTAATGAACCATTGTAGCCGAAACCACTGCATGTAACTTCCCACCTGGAGGAACTTTCTGCATTTCCAGCTACCCTACCCACAGTGTTGAATATTGTCAACTTCTTTCTCAGTATCTAGTGAGATGATCATGTGGTTTTTTTCCTTCGAGTTTGTTTATATAGTGGATTACATTGATGGATTTCCAAATATTGAACCATCCCTGTATTCCTAAAATAAAGCCTACTTGATCATGGTGGATAACTGTTTTGATATGTTCTTGGATTTTTGCTTGATAGAATTTTCTTGAGTAGTTTTGCATTGATAATCATAGTGGAGATTGGTCTGAAGTTCTCTTTCTTTGTTGTGTCATTTTGTTATTTAGGTATGAGTATAATTGTGGCTTCAAAGAATGAATTGGATAGTGTTCCTTCTGTCTATATTTTGTGGAATAGTTTATAGAGAATTGGTATTAGGTCTTCTAGGAAGGTCTGACTGAATTCTACACTAAAACCATTCGATCCTGGGCTTTTTTTGGTAGGGAGACTTTTAATGACTGCTGCTATTTCCTCAGGGATTATAGGACTATTTAAATGGTTTATTTTATTCTGATTTAACTTTAGTACCTGGTATCTGTCTAGGAAATTTTCCATTTCATCCAGGTTTTCCAGTTTTGTTGAGTATAGGCTTTTGTAGTAGGATATCATGATTTTTTGAATTTCCTCAGTTTCTGTTGTTATGTCTCCCATTTCAGTTCTGATTTTATTAATTTGGATACTGTCCCTGTGCCCTCTGGTTAGTCTGGCTAAGGGTTTATCTATCTTGTTGATTTTCTCAAAGGACCAGCTCCTGTTTTCATTGATTCGTTGTATAGTTCTTTTTGTTTCTACTTGGTTGATTTCAGCCCTGAGTTTAATTATTTCTTACCATCTACTCCTCTTGGGTGCATTTGCTTCTTTTTGCTCTAGAGCATTCAGGTGTGCTGTCAAGCTACTAGAGTGTGGTCTCTTCAGTTTCTTTTTGTAGGCACTTATAGCTATGAGTTTTCCTCTTAGCACTGCTTTCATTGTGCCGTATAAGATTTGGTATGATGTGTCATCATTTTCATTGAATTCTAAAAAGTCTTTAATTTCTTTCTTTATTTCTTTCCTTACTAAGTTGTCATTGGGTAGAGCATTATTCAGTTTTCATGTGTATGTGGGATTTCCATTGATTTCATCATAATGAAAGACCAGCCTTAGTCCTCAGTGATCTGATAGGATGCACAGAATTATTTCAATTTTCTTTTATCCGTTGAGGCCAGTTTTGTGACTAATTATATGGTCAGTTTTGGAGAAGGTATCATGAGGTTCTGAGAAGAAGGTATATTCTTTTGTTTTTGGATGAAATGTTCTATAATTATCTACAAAATCAATTTGGTTTATAACTTTTCTTAGTTTCACTGTGTCTCTGTTTAGTTTTTCTTCCCATGATTTGTCCATGGATGAGAGTGGGGTGTTGAAGTCTCCCACTATTATTTTGTGAGGTGCAATGTGTGCTTTGAGCTTTAGTAAAGTTTCTTTTATGAATCTGGGTACCTTTGCATTCGGTGCATAGATGTTCAGAACTGAGATTTCATCTTAACTGATCTTTACTTTGACGAGTATGATGTGTCCATTCTCATGTTTCTTGATAAGTTCTGGTTGAACGTTGATTTTATTTGATAATTAGAATGGCTACTCCAGCTTGTTTCTTGGGACAATTTGCTTGGAAAATTGTTTTTCAGACTTTTATTCTGAGGTAGTGTCTGTCTTTGTCACTGCGGTGAGTTTCTTGTATGCAGCAAAATGTTGGGTCGTTTTTAAGTGTCCAGTCTGTTAGTCTATGTCTTTTCATTGGAGAATTGAGTCCACTGATGTTAAGATATATTAAGGAAAAGTGATTGTTGCTTCCTGTTATTTTTGTTATTAGAGGTGGAGCTATGTTTGTGTGGCAATCTTTTTTTAGGTTTGTAGGAACAAGATTACTTTCTTGTTTTTTCTAGTGTATAATTTCCCTTCTTGTGTTGGTAGTTTCCTTCTATTATCTTTGGTAGGGCTGGATTTGTGGAAAGATATTGTGTAAATTTGGTTTTGTCATGGAATATTTTGGTTTTTCTATCTTGGTAGTAAATGAGAGTTTTGTTTGGTATAGTATCCTGGGCTGACATTTGTGTTCTTTTCGGGTCTATATGACATCGGTCCAGGTTCTTCTGGAGTTTATTGTCTCTGTTGAGAAGTATAATATAATTGTGATAGGTCTTTATATGTTACTTGACCTTCATCTCTTACTGCTTTTAATATTCTTTCTTTGTTTTGTGCATTTGGTGTTTCGATTATTACTTGACAGGAAGAATTTCTTTTCTGATCTAGTCTACTTGGAGTTCTGTAGGTTTCTTTTATATTCATAGGCATCACTTTTATTAGGTCAGGGAAGTTTTCTTCTATATTTTTATTGAAGATATTTACTGGCCCTTTAAGTTGGGAATCTTTGCTTTCTTCTATACCTATTATCCTTAGGTTTGGTCTTCTCATTGTGTTTTAGATTTCCTGGATGTTTTGGGTCAGGAGTTTTTTGCATATTTTATTTTCTTTAACAATTGTATCAATGTTTTCTATGGTATCTTCTGCACCTGAGATTCTCTCTTCTATCTCTTATATTCTGTTGGTGATGCTTGCATCCATGACTCCTGATCTCTTTCTTAGGTTTTCTATCTCCTGGGTAGTCTCCCTTTGTGATTTATTTATTGTTTCTACTTCCATTTTTATATCCTGAATTGTCTTTTTCAATTCCTTCACCTGTTTGCTTGTGTTTTCTTATAATTCTTTAAGGGATTTTTGTGTTTCCTCTTTAAGATCTTCACCTGTTTACATGTGTTCTCCTGTATATCGTTGAGGGAGTTATTTATGTCCTTCTTAACGTCTTCTTTTATCATCATGAGAAGTCATTTTAAATCTCAGTTTTGCTTTTCTGGTTACAAGGGGTATTGAAGACTTGCTATGGTTGGAGAACTAGGTTCTGATGATGCCAAGTAATCTTGATTTCTGTTGATTGTGTTCTTGTGCTTGCCTTTTGCCATCTGGTTATTTCTAGTGGTATCTTCAATTCATTGTCTCTGACTGGAACCTGTCTGTCCTTTTATCTTGGTTGTGTCAGAACTCTTCAGAGTCCAGCTGTTTCTGTAATTCTGTGATCCTGATATCCTGGTTGTGATAGCTCCTGGAAGTCATGTTGTTTCTGAAATCCTGAAATCCTGGTGTGCCCAAGCTCCTGATATTTTGAGATCCTATTATGCTATGATCCAGGCACAGGTGCATACTGGAAGTATCCCAAGCCACTGATTTTGAGTGAGTCCCTGTGTCCCTGTGCATCAAAAATTACTCCCTGTTTGGAAAGGGGGTTGCAGCCTACTCACCTACTCTCCTTGGAGTCCAGCCTCTTTTGGGTTTTGTGGGGATTGAGTGCAGAGCTGACAACTTCCGGCTGCTTCACACACAGGTGCAGACCAAATGGGTTCTGTGTAACTGACCTTAAGGTAGTTCCTGGGTCCCTGCACATCCCAAATTACTGCCTGTTTGGGTGGGGTGCTGGCTACTCACCTACACTCCTGGGCTTGTTAGAGCTCCTGGGAGCACAGCCTCCTGTGGGTTTTGGAGAGATTGGGTGCAAAGCTGACACCTTAGGACTTCTCTAGGTGCAGGCACAGAATGGGAGGGTCACAAACTTACTTTCATTGGTCTATTTTCTTCTCCTGTTGAGCACTAAGAATTTTTTCTAATGTAATAAGAAAATGAAGCACTATTATAAATATACACTGTCTTTTTTCTAATTATTTCCCAGAGTTTGTAGTTATTTAGCTTAAGTGACCATTATTTTTCACAGAATCATATGCTGTTCCTCCATTCCCTCACTCTCTGCTTTATCTTTGTATCTGCATATCTTGAAGGCAGGACATATTTTGGGTTGATGGTTTTATTTTTGGGTTGCTTTATCCCTCCATTGAAGGCTACAGTGAGTAGTGACTTCAGGATCTATATTTCCCACTGCTAGCAGCCTTAGCTAGAATCACCCTCATAGACTCACTGGGGCCTCCAAAATCCCAGGTCTCTGGCATGTCCTACAGATCCCCCCACTGCAGTTTTCACTTCTCTCCCCACTGCTTTCAAAGCATATGTTTTCCCAGTGCCTTACTCCCCTCCCTATCCCTTCTTCCACCTAGTTCCCCCCTTCCATTAATCTTCTATGTCTATTTTGTTTCCTGCCAAGGACCAGCATCTACTTGGTCGAGGGTCCTGAGGAAAGAATGCTTGGGATATGTGAAAAGAGTGACTTGAAGTCAAATGACAGGGTACAAGCTGACAACTTTGTAATCTATTGGAAATGGCTTCCTAAACACCTCTCTGCAGATAACTCTTGGGTCAAGATAGCCCTCTTCTTAAGACAGCTTTCTGTGTTTGAGACAGCTCTCTCTTGCTAGAATACATTCTAAAAGCTCTCTGGATAGCTTATGGGTTTTCCAACCAAAGATAAAAAAAGCCGTTAGAAAAAAATTCTAAAAGAGCTATTTTGATCCCCAGAGATCTTATACAGATAGCTTTTCTTAGGGACCAAAACCCAGTCTTTTATTTACATATCAATTCAGTCATTTACCCCACCTTCCAACTTGATTATCAAGAAAAAAAAAAGAAAAGAAAAGAAAAAAAAATCAGCATTTCATGACCTTAGCCCCTTAATTCTTAGGAAAAGACAGCTACTACATTTTTTTTTTAAAAAAAAACATGGCAAATGAGTGCTCACTTCATCAGCACATATACTACAATTGGAAAGATACCGAGATTAGTATGGCCCCTGTGCAAGAATGACATGCAAACTCGTGAAATGTTCCATATTTTAAAAACAAAACAAACAAACAAACAAAATAAAACATGCCAAATGAATTCAGAGAGCTGCCTGCCTTTACAAGCACAAACAATAAACTTAGCTGTGTGGGATACCATCCTGAGATTACCATTCCAACAGTGCCTGCACATAAATTTGCTCTTCTCCCAGTCTGACCTTGGACTCAGGAACCTGCCTGCCTTTGTATCTTTCTGACAAGCTGGCTCATTAGTAGATTGTCCTCTGTTCTTTTAGGTCCAGGAAGCCCATAATACAATTCAAATTGCATCCTCACATTTTTCATAGTTGAAACATTATATATTTTGAAGTCATGTTTTAAGAATTCTTTCCCACATTGTTAAGGGCTGTCTGGAAATGGCAACATTTACCATTTTTATTAAGGACATAGAAACATCCTTACCTCCTAGATTCATGCTGTCTCTCATTATCATGGAGTCATTCACCTTGGCAGAGAGGAGTTTCCCAGATAACCTTGGTATTTCCTGAAGAAGGAACATGAAGATATACATGTACATGTACATATACGTATACGTATACATATATACAAGCTCCATGCTCAGGACTTGTCAACATGCTTGGAGGCCCATGTCCTTCTGGCTCTGTTTCATTGGGACAACTATGTCAGGCTGTTCCTTCTATGACAACACAGGATTCAGCAGTTTCCCCTTCCAAGAAAGTTTCAACCATTCTCCCTTGGCCCTTCATGTTATCTTCTTTGGATCTGTTGATTAAAGCATGATTATTTTGTACTTTATTGCTAATATCCACTTATAAGTTAGGACATATTACCGTGGGATACCTAACTCAGGATGATATTTTCTAATTCCATCCATTTGGCTGAGAAATTCAATGTTCTTATATTTAATGGCTGAGTAGTATTTCATTGTGGAGATATACAACATTTTCTTTTATCCCTCTTTCAGCTGACGAACATCTAAGTTGTTTCAAGTTTGGGGGTTTAGGAATAAAGCTGCTATGAACACAGTTAAGTAAGTGTCCATGCATAATGTTGGAGTATCTTTTGGGTATATGCCCAGAAGTGTTATAGCTGGGTCTTGAGGTAGAATTATTTCCAATGTTTTGAAAAATCACCAGATTGATTTTCAGAGTGATTTTTACAAATTTGGACCCTCATCAGCAGTGGATAAGTGTTCTTGTTGCTCCACAATCTCACCAGCATGTTCTGTCCTTTCAATTTTTGATCTTCATCATTCTGATGAGTGTAAGGTGGAATCTCAGAGTTCTTTGGCTTTGCATTTCCTGGTGACATTTCTTTAGGTGTTTCTCAACCATTGGAGGTTACTATACCAGAATTCTCTTTCTAGCTCTGACCTCATTTTTAATTGGGTAATTTGGATTAATAGAGTAACTTCTTGTGTTCTTTATCTATTTTGGATATTTGCCTTCTGTCTGATTTGTGAGTAGTAAAGATTTGTCCCAACCTGTATACTTTCATTTCGTCCTAATGAAAATGTCTTTTGACTTACAGAAGCTTTTCAGTTTCATAAAGTTTCATATATTAATTGTTTACCTTATTGCTTGAGCCATTGGTGTTCAAGTTGTTTACTATGTCAACTAATTCAAGGTAATTCCCTACTTTTTGTTTCGAAGTTTGTTAATTTTGTTATTAATATTTTGATTTCATAATGCATTGTCTGGGGATTTTTATCATTAATTAAGTTATATATTTACTCTATATTCTGATCATAGCTTGCCTTTCTTCCTCTCCTTTCAGTCCCAACCTTTCATAAACCCCTCATTTACCTCTCTTTCCCTTCAACTCAGAAAAGGGGAGGCCTTCTATAATAGTTAGCCAGCCTTGAAATATCAAATTTCAGTAAAACTAGATGTATCTTCTTATACTGATCCTAGACAAGGCTCCCATTTAGGAGAAAGAAATCCATAGGCAGGCACTGCTCCCACTTTATGAGTTCCACATGAAGACCCAGCTGTACAATGTGGGTCTGAGTTCTGCTCACATCAGGATACATCCACTCTGGAGGTAAAACTCAGGGAGTTTGACTGTGCTTATCTCACACCACCAGGCAGGTACTGGGCTTCAGGGATGAACTAAGACCACCACTCTGAGGGCACACTCTGAAATGTGGGAAAGCCTGAGGTGGTTTGGGGGTCCCTGACTGCAACAAGGAAGGGGCCAAGGAAGTTATCTGATTCTTGGATACCCAGGTGCCCCTTCTGCTGATGTTCCCATGTTTATGATTCCTTTGAACCATAAAAAGATGACAACTCACTTAAGATAGTCAACAATGCATCCTGCACCATCAACTGCTTAGTTCCCCTGGCTAAGGTCACCCATGACAACTTTGGCATCATGGAAAGGTTCATGACCACAGTCCATGCTATCACTGCCACTCAGAAGATTATAGATGGGCCCTCTGGAGAGCTGAGGCATGATGGCTATGGAGCTGTCCAGAACATCATCACTGCATCCACTGATATTGCCAAGGCCGTGGGCAGAACCATCCCAGAGTTGAACAAGAAGCTCACTGGCATAGTCTTCATTGTTCCTACCCCCAATGTATTTGTTGTGGATCTGACATTCTGCCTGAAGAAACCTGACAATTATGAGGACATCAAGAAGGTAGTGAAGCAGGCAACTGAGAGCCCATTAATGGGTATACTTGGCTACACTAAAAACCAAATTGTCTCCTGTGAATTCAACAGTAACTCTCTCTCTGCTACTTTTGATCCTGGGTGGCATTGGTCTCAATTACAACTTTGTAAAGCTTATTTACTAGTATGGCAAATAATATGGCTACAGCAACAGGGGGGTGGACTGTACTGCCTACATGGCCTCCAAAGAGTAAGAAACCCTGGATCACCCACCCCAGCAAGGACTATGAGAGCAAGAGAGAGGCCCTTGGTGAGGGGTCCTTGTCTGAACTCAGGCCCCTACACTGAGCATCTACCTCACAATTTCCATTTCCAACTCCCATAGTAACAGAGGAGGCCTAGGGAACCCTACTCTTGAATAGTGTCACTGAAGTTTGCTGCACCTAAAAGAAAAAACATATTTGAAAAATATAAGATTGTAGATGGATTTCTTGACTGAAATGTAAAACAGGAACAGAGTAGTTAAGGGCCTCCAGTTCTAGCTCCAACTTTGAGCTCTATGAAGAATAACATAATAAATTTATTGATCACTGCTGAGACAAAAATTCTGTTATGTCATTTTCTGTTCTCATTACACCTAAGATCTTCAAATCTAAAATATTTTTAGCATATTTTCCTTCTTCCCTGAGTTTGCTACTGTCAACTTCTAGGCATGGAGCCCACTTTCATTTTATTTTTTATGTTCCTTCTCTTTTTTCTATTTTTGAGGTTGAAAATTCATAAATATATTATAACACACTGTAAAAGTGGATAATATTACTATAAAATTGATTTTCTTTATTTGCACATTCATTGAAAATCTTTGGTGTTTATTGCAATTAGTCTAACTCTTCAAACAGGAGCTATCACCTTCTCTCTTACCTAAATAAAAACAGCAGGAAATACAAATCACACTCAACAGCCTGACACCAGGATGTGTAAATAAATACCTCTGAATAGAATTTACACATCTCATATTGTGTAAGCTACACAGAACAGGAAAGGGAAAGATTTTTTTTTTTTTTTTTAGAGAAACCTGGCACTCTTTCTAATAATTAAAGCAATGAAAATCACCATTTGGTTGTGGAAACAGGCTTTAAAATATTTAGATTAGCTGGCTCTACTTTGTCACCACTACATTATGAGAATGTGTACCATATAGTATGTACTCAATACATGTTTTCTAAGCAAATGATTCAATTGTGTTTCAAATAATTAATTTGATACCACTTAGAAGAACTAGGTAAAATTTTGGATAAATACTTTGAATGTTACTATCTTCCAAATTATAAACAAGAACCTAGATTGGAAATCAATGAGTTGTCATCAGAAAACTAAGAAACAAAGAAATAACATCTTCATATATATAAAGTCAGGAGGACCCACAGAATCATGAATGAGATTTGCTTCCTGAAACAGAAACCATAGAAGTGTAGCTGGAAGATATGCATAGATAAGACTCCTGGGCAATTGCTGAAAGCTTGGTTTGGAATAGCCTTAAGCGTATAAAACAACAACAATAACAAAACAAATAAACAAAAACAAAAACAAGCAGACAATCAAACAGAAAATTATAAAACCCAAGGAAGAGATGTAAGGTGAGGAGAATCTCCGCTTTGTTGTATACATCACCTCCAAGAATGCTGTAACATTTTTATCATAAATATATGAAAAATATCTGGCAGTGACATAAAGAATAACCCTGGTGAAATATACACAGAAATGTTTTCCTATGAGAAAAAAAATCTGCAGGATTTTTACCACAGATCAGTAGAAGGCAAGCATTCTACTCAGTTTCTTCTATCTTCCCTGCCTAAGCTAAAGTACTGGAGATTGAAAATAATTCAGGAGAAACAGTTGTTTGTTCTTCACACACAGGCTCCATACACAAACCAATGAGAAAAGAAGTTGAAATGGGTGATTATAGAGTAACCACTCTCTCTGCACCTTCTCAACCACAGCAGCAGGAGTTCAGAGTAATAGCTACTCATTTCTGCAGAGACATTTGTGAAATATGGATAGAAGAAGAATGCATATGGAACCGTATAGTCAGGAGGCATGTAAAAAAGAAAGTTAGGTCACTGTAGATATAAATATCTTGTTACTTAAAGACACAGCAGAGACATGATCTGTTGACTTCAAGTTAGATTAGTGAGTTATTCTCTGACAAAGCTGTGACTGTGCTAAATACCCTACAGACTTATTGACTTGACTAGAATGTCATGACTGTGTAGCAGTTGAGGTTGAAGTTGAGCTCCAAATTATTTTTGGCTACATTAAGGCCCCTCAAAATTCATTTATACTGTCATTGTCTTCTGTATTTATTCTAGTATCATTAGTATAATTAAGTTAATTTTTGGGAATATACAAGTTTCCAGGCC